GCAAGATTGGTGTAAAAATTTTCCAGGCTGCATCCAATTCATCATCACGCACAAAATTAGAGTGATCACCTTTTAATACATCAAGAATCAAAGCTTCATACGCATCGGGAATTTTTAATTCGGAAAAACGACGGTGATATGTAAGGTCCAATTCAGAAATTACCGTATCCATAGAAAGACCCGGTAATTTGTTTGTCATCTTCATGTAAACAGCCTCATTCGGTTGAACACGAATAACTAACTCATTACGAGGTGCATCCTTGAATACATTGCCAGGCACGTTCTGAAATTGAACTCGAATTTCGGTCTTTTGTTCATTGAGAGCTATTTTTATGAAAATAAAAATAATTTAATGACATTGATAATCGAACAAGAAATAGTAAAGAAGTGAATTTTCTACAAAACCTTTGCCACATTTGAGAATAAATGGAACTCCTTCCCAACGTTCGTTATTAATCCATAATGTCGCTGCTGCGAAAGTGGGACAGTTGCTGCCTGGGGGTACAGTTTTATCATCTAGGTACCCAGGTTTGGTACCATCTTCAGATTTTGTATATTGTCCAAGGATAACATCGTCCATCTTCACTGGAGGGATACAGCGTAAGACACGAACCTAAAGCAAAGAAAAGAATTGTGAGATCAAAAAGATTAAAAGAAAATGTGAAATAATTATGATTATTGAAACTAACTTTTTCATCGCGGACATCTTCCGAAGTTAATGATATAGGACGTTCCATAGCAACAATACTCAAAATTTGTAAGAGATCTAAAATCCGAAAAACAGTCTAATTATTATATATTATAAATGGTAATAATTACAGTTTGTTTGTTTTTTTAACATACGATTTTGCATGACATCTCGAATTATACCGAATTCATCAAAGTATCCACCACGGCCTTCAGTTCCAATTTTCTCCTTAAAAGTGATCTGAACATTGGCAATACTTTGGCGATTCCAAATAGCCCCGAAAAATACATTAGCAAAACGGATAATCAATAGATTTTTAACCATTTCTTTTCCAAGATAATGATCAATACGATAAGTCTGTTGTATTTTTATACAAGTAAGTTTAAATTGGACTAGTGCTTAAAATTTATTCGATAGGTTATTGTATAGGCAGTAGATACAATCCCTTTTTCAGGAACAAATGGCAAACAAACCTCTTCCTCTTTCCATAATGGAGCCAAAGCTCTACCAAGTTCACGAGAACTTTCTAAATCCATTCCAAAGGGTTTTTCAACAATTAAACGATTTATTCCCTTTGTAGAATAGAGATTTTTTTTTATACCATGAGCTACAGGTATAAACACGCTAGGAGGCAAAGCCATGTAAAAAACACGGTTCTTATTTCCATTTCCAACAGTCATCTCGACTTCTTCTACAGCCTTGTTCAATCTTTGATAGTCTTCATCTTTATCATATTGACCAGAAATATACGTACAAAGTTTTAAGAATTCCGTGAATTGTCCTTTGATTTGATCAGTAGGAAGTTTAGCGTATTCAAGGAGACGATTATGAAATTCTTGGAGAGAAAGAATTGATCTTGCATAGCCAATGATAACGGTTCCTTCAGGTAAGTAACCATTGCGATAAAGACCAAAAAGTGCAGGATATGTTTTCTTTTTCGCAAGGTCACCAGAAGCACCGAGAACTGGAGTCAATAAACATAATAACAATAATATCAATTCTTTATACTTTCATATTAAAAAAAGAAGAAAAAAAAACCAAATTACCAATTATTGTCGTGAGGCCAGTAAGCTGAGTTTTATCCATGATAAAAAATAAAAAAAGCGATGGTATTTTTATTCCCACGTTTCGCATTTAAAATACTCGAATGTTACACGAACTATTGTATGTACGATCAATAAATTTCATTGGCTGTTATAGCTGATTGACCAATAAAATTGTCCGTGACATTAATATTCATGTGATAAATTAGATTGATAATTCTGATAGTTTGCTTATTAATCTGTTTCATGCAATTTATCAATTTAGACTTTCCAAAATAGCTATATGTATTCACAAATTAGTGCATCCTTATTTTGTAAAATAGATGTTTCAATTTTTTTACTGATGGTTACACCGCATGAAAGTAGAAACTCTTTTCTATTCCTGGTGAATAAGTT